TATACAGTGCCACTTTTTTCTAACTGAAGCTTCATAAAAATGTTTTTTCATTACTTCCTCCAACGATGTGTAGTCCCTTGCAAAATTATTCAACCAGAAACTTCAGTATGACCTTATTGCGATTTCATGCTATTTTGTTTGTGCGTGGCAACCCTGGAAGAGCTACAGAGATTTGCAGCTCAGGTACGAGAAGTTGTGCACCACATAAATATGACCTTTACGGAAGAGTGCTAAGAAGAAAACTATGTGTTGGCTGTAAGAGGTTTGCAGGACCCACACAGAGGAGGTTGTTCTGGTCAGATGAGACTAAAACTGAAATTTCCTAGTTAGAGGTAGAGGCTGCGAAAGGCTACAAAAGCCTTGTGACAGGGGTGGAATGGTCTAGATAAAGGGATATACACATATTAAAATGATCAAGTCAAAAATTGATGTGCGCAGATGTTGTCCATCTAAATGACTGAGCTTTAGCTTTTTTTTGCAAAGAAGAATTTAAAAAAAGTATTTCTCTAGTTGTGCAAAGCCTGAAAGAGACATTCCCCAAAAGAGTACTTCAAAGAATTAACTCAGGGGGCTGAAAACAAACGCAGAACACAATTTGCAAATTTTTATTTGCAAGACATTTTAAAAGCTATGTGTCACGGTCTTTTCACCTCATAATTATGCACTACTTTGTGCTTCTTTATCATTTAAAATTGATAAGAAAAAGAAATTTGTGATTGCAACTTGACAAAATGTTGAAAGGTTTGCAGGGAACTGTGTGATCGGAGGCTGCTGGTTGCTGCACATTATAGAACTAAATCAGTACAATTGCAGACACCTGGAAATTGTTATCTTTAGTAGTAAAACAAAATAAACTGATTTAGGCTGTGTCATTTTTCAAGATAATACCCTTAGATCATGTAAATTGCCATCATCTCTGCTTGCAAGTATACGTTTATTGCTTTATATAATTAAAATCACTTGATCTCATTTAAAATATGTCAAACTGCGGACTTTTTATGTGTTGTTGGACCAGATTTTTTTATTAAAAACATGACCCAGTGCTTTAGCATGAAGATTCTTAAATATAGCACTACAGACTATTCTTTTACAAACTACATCAGTAGAACCCAGTATAGCCAGTGTGCAGTTAAACTATCAGTAGGGCCAAAAAAGGTTTTGCATCTTATTCAACCCTTCTGTGTAGTATATAAGTGGACTCAATAAGTAAAGCAACACCTGTCAACCACAACTCTGTGGTGTGTGTTCATTAGCAAGGTATTGGTTAACGCATCGCCCTGCACTTGCTTCATGGCTCTGAGCTCATTTTGGAAGGGATGACGGGAGTGAAATGAGTCTGTCCTTACTTAAAGCATAAAGGTGTTGCAAACGCATTAGGACATTCTCTGCATTAGTCTGACTAAAGCAGTCATTAAGTGAAGGTTTGCTTAGACAAGATAAAAGTGACAGATTTTAAATATTGAAGTTAGAAGGATGAACTTTGATGCTTCATTTAGCGAGCACAATATAATCTAAACGGTTACTATTCTTTTCATTTCACATCTCACTGCACCACATTGTCATTGGGATAAATATTCACTTTTCATGTTGTCTTTTCAGTCCAAATACATCTGACTTCTGTGTTCACATCAGTATTTTTTGCACAAAATCAATCAAGACTAATCCAATCTGAGTCTCGGTCCTGAGAAGTTACTGTTGGAGCTTCTGAATTGCACTTCTGGGAATAGCTCAGTTGAAGTTCAGCCTACCCAGACACGTGTTTGAGTCATCAGGCACAACTGTACAGTGTCCCTGTCGTGGATTTGTCCCTTTTTTTTCTTTTTTTGTGTGCTCATGTCAATAAATGTTTGATGATATGTATTTATTTGTAAATGGTAAGGGTATAATTTAAAAAGTATAAATTTGAAGGTTTTCCCTGTTTTACTAACAAAGAAATATGGCTTTTTCTTGGTATCTTTTTGATAATTTGCAAAAAAAAAAGGCAGTTATGCTTATCTCATGGAGGTAGCTGCAAGGTAGCGAACATGGTGTATATATGCAGTGTCTTCCAATGTTTTTACGTGTTTTTGCAAATGGGACCTAAATATTAAAGATTTTTCTTTACATAAAAAGTCTGGGAGTTGAATTTTTTGTCTGGAAATCACTTTTGGGGTGTGACCATAACAAAAGATTTTTATTATTAGCAGACGTTTATAAAGCCAGAAGTTATTAAAGGGTTCAGCACCATTTTTTAATGTGGGCTATTTGGCTCACTGGATCTGATCAAATTACAATATCATTGAAGAGTTCATTTATTTCAGCTATTCAATTCAAGAATTGACACTTTTATTCATTTTATATAGCTTGAATATACTTATATTAATTTAGATGATTCTGGCTTGCAGCTAATAAAATCCCAAAATTCAGCATTGGTGATTGAAATTCTTGTTTGGGTCATTAGCAAGACTTTTAAGAACTTGACTACATGCTGAAGAGGCAGTATAGCAATTTAATTCAGGGATGTTGGACCGGGGACTCATCTAAAAGCTGCAGGACACCAGACCTTGGCTTAAACTGAGCATTTTCAATGCATTTTTTTTAGCAGCTTAGAATTAAACAAACAAACAGCATATACACACACGCACACACACACACCACAAACACCCACACACACTCAAAACCACAAAGAACTATTCCACACTGATCCTTTAAATCATAATTAGTGATTTTTGGAAACAAAAAAAAATATTCTTAGATTCTTAGTTTTCCTAAAATTATTGCCAAAATATTGTCTTTTCTCATGAACCAAATATTGTTTAACGTCTCATCTAATGAGCTGGATCTATAGTCACACCCTCAAAACATTATACATAGATGGACGTCATCTTGCCTTCTGTGAACAAATGTTTGACTTGTTGAGTAGGAACAGTGACGGTGCAGCACAGGATCTTAATTTGGGGTTGTTTTTATTGCTAATTTTTTTAGCATTTATGACTATTTTTATCTTCTTAATTAGTGTCGGTTTTGACCAGCAGAGGCTCAATGTTTAATGGAGAGGCATGACAATAATACAGGAAAGATGACCAGTCCTTCTGTTTCTCAAGAATGAGTCTCCAAATTTCTGAACACAACTACAATAAAGAACTCAAACCCAAACATTTGGTCTTTAACTTAAACATTCATCACACAATATCAATAATCATATTTCAAGAAGTAATGGAATCCCTGGTCTCCAATACAGTTAGTCAATATTAAAATGATAGTTTTTATACCATTGGTATACCAAACACAATGGGTGGATAAATACATTTGTACAAAATATTAAATCAAGCAGAAATTTGTCATTCTCATCATCCTACAGTCGGCTGCTTCTTCCTTCCAGAACAATAACCACATTTTATTGTTCACTAAGCATCATTGTCTTTTTAATGGCTTCTGAATTTTTCACATTTACCAAATGTAGCTTCTTCCCCCAGATTATTTTTTACTCTTTTAATAATGCATTCACACCAGCAAGGATACATAGCATCACTAGCCTCAATCACTCTATGATTAATGTGCTGCAATGTTGGTGTGACAGTCCCCGCACACAATCTAGGAAACTTGACACACATCGTTCACCGCTGTCTGGGACAGGGCAAAGGGCCAGGGGACTGTTGGTATTCCCAGAAAGAGTGAGGATGGAGAAGAGCCATGGGACAAGAGGGGCAAAGACATGTAACCTAAAAGCTGTGGTTGGTTCCTGATCTCTGGGATTCCCATGGAGACCAGGATTACTGTTCCTGCTGGGCAGCAAGCTAACATACGCTTGGCATGCTTGGTTTGAAGTCGTGCCTGAACACCAACATCACACTAAAATAATAATAGATGTCTGAGCCTTCCTCCTTAGGCCTCAATGCACAGTTGAACATTTGGTAATACTCATACAAAACTCATGTGCGTAGAGGATCAGAGAGCAAGTTTAGTTTCTAGCTTAACTGGCTCAACATACCATTTTGAAACACTGAAACGTTTGTTCCCTAAAAGACAATAATAAAAACATTAATATTTCAGTACATTTTCATTTAATCTCATTCTTCATTTCTGTTCACTGTTTCATCAGCTTCTTCTACACAGTTTAAAAAAAATGTCAGACTCCTAAAACATTTGTAGAACGCTGGGCTCTCTGGAGCTGTGGACTAAGTCCAATCATGAAATTTCCTCAACTAAATATTGCACAGTCAATTTTTAGTGGTAATATAACAAAGTAGAAAAGATTGGGAATGGCTGTAACTCATCTATTGAGTGGTAGGCCACATAAAAAGCAGAAGCTGTGGCACAGAGTTTGCCAACTTTCTGCGAAGTCCATAGCTACCGACCTCCAAACTTGATGTGGCTTTCAGGAAAATCTCAAGAACAGCACATAGGTAGCTTAGTGGAAAGGGTTTTCAAGGCCCAGCAGCAGAATCTAAGGCTTACATCATCAAGGGCAATGCAAAGTGTCAGAGTGTGTTAAGGACTCTAGAGCAGTGGATAAGTGTTCAACGGAGTGATGATTTATCCCTCTCTGTCTGACAACTGTATGGATGAGTCTGGGTTTGGCAGTTGCCAGGAGAACAACACTTGCCTGATTGCACTGTGTCAGGTGTAAAGTTTGGAGCAGAGGGGATTATGTTGTGGGCCTGGTATTCACTAGTTGGGCTTGGCCCCTAAGTTTCAGCATAAAAAACTCTTAATGCAGCAGCATGCCAAGTTATACCCTATTATGTCAGTAGAACCCTACTCAGTTTAAGGATAACCCCTTCTTGTTCCAACTAGTCTGAAAACCAGTGCACTATGCAATGTCCACGAAGACATGGGTGAGCCAGTATGATAGGGCTTAACTTAACTGTCTTGTATAGAGTCCTATGCTTAACCTGAACCCCTTTGCAATAAATTAGAACATACATTTTGAGACCTCCTCGTCCAACATCAGTGTGTGACTTAACAATTGCTCTTGAGGAAGAATGGTCAATAATTCCCATAAACAAACTCCTAAAGGCTGCACGATGGCGCAGTTGGTAGCACTGTTGCCTTGCAACGAGAAGGTCCTGGGTTAGACTCCCGGCCGCGGGTCTTTCTGCATGGAGTTTGCATGTTCTCCCCGTGCATGCGTGGGTTCTCTCCGGGTACTCCGGCTTCCTCCCACACTCCAAAAAGATTAATTGGCCTCTCTAAATTGCCCTTAGGTGTGAATGGGTGTGTGCATGGTTGTTCGTCCTCTATGTCTCTCTGTCCGGGGTGTACCCCGCCTGTAGACTGCTGGGGATAGGCACCAGCTCCCCTGTGACCCACTATGGAAGAAGCAGTATAGAAGATGAATGAATGAATGAACACTCCTAAACCTCCTGGAAAGTCTTCTTAGAAAATGTGAAGGGTGTTGTAGCTGCAAAGAGTATACTAACATCATATTTACCTCCAATGGAGTAAGAATAAAATGCCAATTCCTTCAAAATGTGAGTGAAGGCAGATAAGTGAATATTTTGTCAATATAGTATAGCTAGTTTTAACCCATATAATTAAAATACCTTCAGAGAGAAGCTTCTTGTAGCCATCCACCAGTCTCAGACATTAGTCTGAGTAAACCTTTTCCCTTTCAGCTGTGAGAATTTTAAAGGGTTTCTTGCATGTACAGGGTGTTTCACGTCACCCCACCATGACTCAATGAGATCAAGATTTAGACTTTAACTTGGTCCAGGAGTTCCTTTATCCTAGTTTTATCCAGTTTTCACATTGGTATGTTTTGGGAAGCCAGGTCCTGCTGAAGCAAAGCATGCCATATTCATGATCCTTCCACTTCCATGCTTCACAGTTGGCATAAGGCTCTTTCCCAGAAGGCTATAATAATTATGTTTTATATGTCCTCTGTTCTAGTTTCCAAATGATTTGATTTCAGATTTATTTTTCCAAACATGTTCAAAAGTTTTGGGTTTGTCTACTTCCTCTTTGGCACAGTTCACTCTGGCCATCATGTTTTTCCTACAGAACAAAAGTTTCCTCTCTGGAAACCTTTCATGAAAGTTCAACTCCTGCTATTTCTTTCTGATTGTTCAGGCAACAAAAGTAGAAAACAAGGAACAACAAAACTTTCAATTTCTTCACTCAAGTGATGTAGACGAAAATAACTTGACAATGCCGACCGTCCAGAATGTATGAAAGTTTTGAAAAGTGAAATTTTAAAAGCCATCTACAGAAAAAGTCTATTGATATCTAACTTTAGTTGAAAGGTTTTCGGGGTTGATCAAATGGGCCAAACCAGCCCAGCTTTTAGCTGCTTTGATTAGGGTAAATTCATAGAGAAAATATCTGAAATTAAAAAAAGAGCTACAAAATGTAAAATTTTAATAAAACATTACAAAAACGTTATTAAAAAGACAAAACTGTTACAACAAACACTTCTTACATGCTTCTCTGCACTGCGTCTTTGTTAAATGCATAAGTTTTAAAATCTTCTTACATTCTGGAGCTTCCTAAACGCATCCTAGATCTACGGACCTATGTGCCACCCCAACTGCTGAGATCCATGAATAACAGTCTGCTAACTTCTCTGCAATCTGAAGATCTGACCTTTTCTGTTAGAGTCCCTATTTAATTGAAATCCTAATTACAATAAAATGAGGCAGAAGGGACTGTGTTTTCTCCTTTGGTGCCGATGTTTCGCCCATGTCTCTGGCATCCAGCTGGCAAATGTCTTTTGGTAAATGCTGGGATCTTACACTTTATCTAACAAAGCCTGGATCTGCCATAGTCCAGTAGCTCATTGCTGGCGTAGCAACCAATGGACAAATGAGGTGTGACATCACAGGACAGTTCCAACGTTCCTGATCGATTTTTGCAAAGTGGCAACCATATTGTCACATTACGGCATTGAGTCTGTTCAGCTACTTTAACTATTGCTGATGATATTGCTCTAATATTGGAGAGTTGTTTCTTGAACAATAAGTCACACACTGCTAAAAGACTCCTTAGCTGTGAAATAAGCATACAGTGAAAGCAATATATGCTGGTATTCAAAGTGCAAAATATAAGCGTCAACCTGTGTGTCTCAACCTGTAGAAATATTGTCTTTAACCTCTAACAGGCTTATTTTATTTTTACTTCTATCACTACATCAGGTTTTTGATAAAGATTTATTAACATTATAAAAAAATAAACCTGCCAGACTTTGCAAAATTCCCTCTCCAGCTCTTATCTCCTCCATACATCTCTGCCACTGATTGCCAGCAACACTCTAATCACTCCTTCTAATCCCTCTCTGAACCATATGTTTGTTTCTCCTCAGTGTATAGCTTACAGGGAATTACAGGCTGAGCAAGGATCAGTTAGTGCAGGGATTTTACTAGTTAGGATGACTGAGAATGTTTACGTAGATTTGTGCACGTGTCAGCGCATATCAAGCTCCCATTAGATAGTAAGCTTGTAAAGAGAGGCAACTAAAAGACAATAAATTCCATTTCACTTGGGCACCAGGACAAACAACCTGGTAAAAACACAAGAGCCTTGCAAAAGTATTCATACCCCTCATACGTTTTCAGTTATCACATTGCAACAGGCAGACCCCATTTAGTAATTAGGTGACTTTCGCAATCAGTTGCACTGGATTTTATTTAGGCGCGTAAGAGGAAAATAGATTTTTATTTGCAAATAAGGAGCAAAAACCATGTCCAGCTCTAAATGTTATCATTAAGTACAATATCGAAATGTTTGTTGAGTGAGGTGAATTTGTACGTTAAATATTATACATACACATTAAAGTCCAAAGATTTCCAACCCCCTTGTTTTTGCTGAGTAGTTTTTTGGGGGTTTTTTTGCACTCGAACTTTGAATGCTGAACTGTATGCCGTACAAAAAAAGCTGAGTTTTCTCAGCTCTGCTCAATGGTGCAGTTGGTTGTACAGTTGAATTGCACAAAAAAGGTCCAGGCTCAAATATGGTTCTGGGATCTTTCTGCAAGGAGTTTGCAGGTTCTCCCCGTGCACACGTGGGTTTTCTGTGGGTACTCTGGAGTCCTCCCACAATACAAAAACATGACTGTTAGGTTAATTAGTAATTCTAAATCGCCCTTAGGTATGAGTGTGCCCCCCTGAGCCTGCGAGAACAAGAGGGTATAGACAACAAATGGATGAATTTCTCCATTATAAGTAATCACATCAACCTAACATGTTTTTAATGAAATAAAACAACTACTGTAAATAGTTATGTGAAACCGAAGGTTAAATGATGGAGCTGATTTCAAATATTTAACATCCATTGGTGTGTGCAGCCCTCAGTTACACTGTGTGTTTGTACATCAACAAAGATAAGGAAGGAGGAGAAGTGAGACAAAATGTAGGAGTGGGAAAAGATACTGATATCAGAAAGAAACGATGAAAAGAGGACATCCAATCAGGAGACAGGAGTGAGTGCTCTGGGCAGCTGTGGTGTAAGCGAAGTGTCTGATGCAAGCTGACAGCTGTATCTGTGAGGCATAAGCAGTATGGGAGTATATGAGTAGTCTTAGATCAGTAATACATTTACAGTGCAAAGGTTGCATGGGCACTTACATAATCACATTCTTTGCCATAATTAGCTCTAACTTTGTGTTTTTGACCGCTAAAAAAGCATCCACACATTTGTCTTCTTCCCAAGACCCTCACAGTGACAAGAGTGCAGGAAACCTGAGAGTCATAAATATACAAACTTTTATTGGATTTTAACTTGAGAGAACAGCGCAACATAATAGTGCAATGCAAGTGAAACTATACATACTGAAAATTTTTAACAAATAAAAACCGGAAAAGTGTGGCGTGTATTTGTGTTTAGCCCCTCCCCCACCTTAATACCCTGATTATTCTTTGCAAAATTGCTCACGCTTAGTAAGACTGGAAAAGGAGCGTATGCGAACATCACTTTTTCAAGTTTTGCCACAGATTATCCACTGGCTTGTATTTAGCTACATCCATCTTCTTTTTCATTAACTCTTCCCAGCTTCCATGTCCCTGCAGAAGAAAAGCATTCCCATAGAATGATGCTGCCACCACCCTGTTTCACTGTCGGCATGGTGTGTTCAGGGTAAAGTCCACAACACACATCGTTTTAAAAGGTTCGATTTTATTCTCTCATGAGATCACCTTCATCCAGGTTGGCTTTGTTGCTCACATGACTTGCGGTAAACTGCAGACACTGGAGTTATGGCTTTCTTCTTGCCACCCTTTTTTAAAGCCAGATTTGTAGAGTACACAGCTAAGAGTGGTCATGTTGACAGCTTCTCCAACCTGAGCTGTGGATCTGTACAGCTCCTCCAGAGTTGCAAAAGGCCTCTTGGATCTCTTGTACACAGAACAGCAGTATTTATGATGATTTAAGTAGGCTGAATACAAATAAACTCAAACATTTTAATTTTGAGTAAAAAAAATGAAAATCTTCCCTATCCACTTCATAATCACGAATTACTTTGTGTTGGTCTATTACATGCAAAGCAATGTATAGATATACTTTATCAGCACTTGAAACATTGACACAAAATTAGGATAAAACCTTTATCATCAAACTGCAGCACAAAATATATATTAAAAAAAATCAAATCATGAGCTGAAAGGAAAGAACACCCAACAGACATTTCACATGTAAATAAATCAGTAAAATATGGAAGCATTCAAGCCTACTCCCAAAAAGACTCCAACTCTTTGTTTGCTGACCTCAATTACCTAATGAAGTGCAACAAGGCACCCTGCCTTAAAAGCCTACTTTCCTAAGCTGCTTGAGTGTTCATTAAATGGTTTGCCTGTCAATGGCGATTTAATGACACTAGCTTCCTGGTGCCATCTGAGCTGATGGTGAACTATGGCTTGTTTAAGTTTATTACATTCATTTAAATCTGAATTCAGTTTAGACATGTAACAGTCAATCCACTGCTTTTAATGGTTATTCCAGCTTTTCCTGAAGTTTGGTTCTGTGATAAGGTTGTGAATGGTTAGCATTTTACCTGGAGTCCATAACTAATCAAAGGCCTCTGCTTGAATAGAGAGAAAGAAGGGCTGACCTTAGAGCAAATTAGGGCAAGGCACAGTCCAAAGCAAATTTTTGTATCCCTAAAACCATTCCAAA